AAAACAATACTCACTAGCTTACCTGCAACAAAAACCAAACTATGATACACCAACTCATCCATTACACTATTGTCAAATTTTTAACAAGCAAAAGATACAACAACAAACAGCTACTACAATTATACAGAGGTTTTTCACACTATTTAACAATACTCTTTCTATAGCTACAATACAAGGGTTTGCTCTGTCTAATATTTAGGAGCTAACTACCTTATCTAAAAATTATTACACCCAATTACCGCATAAGATTTCTAAGAATATTTACAAAACAATATGACATATACAGTATATAGCAATGTACTAGCAGAATACAACACCCAACGCATTTACTATACTCCAGAGATGATAAATAACCTGAAATAACCCAAATGACCCAAATGACAAATGACTAGTCATTTGTTATTTCAAAGTTCAAATAACCTTAGAAGGTCATTTAACATATGTTGGTTAATATTCTAATGCTTTTAACCAATCAGAATTGACTAGCAAGCAAAATTAAATTTTATTATCAATAATCATAGCTATATAATAAAATCAAAATTTTACTAAATTAATTAATATTTATATCTTAAGTAAAGTTGTTCTATATAATTCTATATCTTATGTTTATATAAAAAAATTTTTAATTTTTTATATAAATATAATATGTAAAAGTGAATTAATAAAAGATATTTAATTCATATAAAAATTTCAAAATATATGCAATTTATTATCTCGAACAGCTTTACTTAAGGGTATAAATATTAATTGACTTAATAAAATTTTAATTTTAATATGTAGCTACAATTATCAATCAGAAAAGTAATAAGATTTGATAACTTTTTTATAAATAATTCAACTAATAAAATTACTTTATATGCAAATAACCCAAATAATCTAATGACCCAAATAACCTGGTCATTATTTGATGACTTGAGGTCATTTGAATTTTGATCAAATGACCAGGTTATTTACCATCCCTGCTATACCCCCCTCTAGATCACCCTTTCATATCATAATATAGTATCAGTGCACAAAATTGTGGCATGACGTGTCCTGATTTTTTTCTGGCAATATGTATACAAAATAGAATTTTGGATCTGCAGCTGGAGATATTAACAAATATATACCAATATGTATAATAATTGCTATTATTGCTATATATCGCTATCACAATACATTAATTATATACTATATATCCCAAAAACAAAATTGTAGTTTCAATATAAAAAAAAACTAAATTCGAAAATAACATTACTGTATGCCATATCTATTTTTTATACTATACTATTCATGGTATATTTTATCTCAATTTATTTCTTTACTTTTCTTTCCTTCTAATGAAATTCTCATAAACGCATCTAAAGTAAATGTAGTTAAAGAGATACACAAATGGGTTTTAATTGTATTTTGTTTGGAAAATCCACGTTCACAATCTAAACTTGAAAAAGGAATGCTATTAGTAATATGAGCAAGTTTAATCATGTTAGGAAAAATATCAGAATAATCACGAACTAGAAAGGAAAGTAATTCCTGTGAGAAAAATGTTAAAAAATTCAAAAAAATAATATTATTAAAACCAGGCCATTCTGTTATATACGAATCCACATCAATTAATAGTAAGAATTTTTGACTATTTATAGTTTTTGCTGTTCTATAATGATCAAATAAGATTTGAAATTCATTGTCTCCAAATCAAATAATTCTTCTTTTTTACGTGGCCATTCTACTGGATTCAAAATTCTCATTGCTGCAAGTAAAGGATGATCAGGAAAACGGTTTTTAATTTCTGTAATAATTGTGCTTGCATATTTGTAAATATCTTGAAATAAATCATCAAAATCATAATTATTATATATAGTAAATGTATATGATAATTTACGCCTGTTTGCTTATTGAATAGATTTGTATGATTGATAAAAAGTTGAAGATTATAGCCCAGATAATGATTTCGAATATCTAAAGTATCTACGAGATAATCTTTTTGAATGATTGTAGTTGTAGCATCAATTATAGAAATAATATCTTGAAAATAAAGATTACTCTTTTGGAAAAATTTATTTAACGATGCCAAATGACCTAAAATATCAAAAATAAAATGAAAAAATCTCAATAATCGCCAGTTATATAATCATCGATACAAGTTATTAGCAACCTTATTATTGTTATGTTGAAGTTGTAAAAGAATAGCTGGTAATGTTTTAACAAAATTTTTTACAGCATCATACTAGCCAAGCCATCGTATGTCTTTTAATTTTTTTAAACATAGCTCAGGACAATCAAGAATTTGTTAATATTCTTGAAGAATATGAACTCGTTTTGCAGAATTTTTATAATATTTGTATATGTCTCTTATAATAGTCTCGGTATTATTGAAATAATCAATTTGCTTTTGTGAATCTTTGCAAGCTAATGCTAAATGATGTGCTATACAATGATTATAGACAATATACAGACAAATTTGTGATAATTTTTGTGCAATACCATTTTTACATCCAATCATTACAGATGCACCATCTGAAGCAAAAGCTACTAATTTGTTAATAATATCATAACTTTGAAATAGCCAAATTAATTTAGTAGTTATTGTTGTTGCATCACTTTGATCAAGTACTAATAATTGTAAAAAATGTGTTTTCACATTTCCAGAAATATTTGGTACATTATATATATATCAATATGCTTATTCATAGCAATATCTGTACTTTTATCGATCATAATTCCAAAAGATACAGCTTTACTAAGCTCTTTCCATATTTCAGCCTTAATTACATTAGATATAGCAAATGCGAATTCACGACCAGATATTTCATTTTCATAAGTAACAGCACCATCTAC